TCTATAGATGCTTCATTTCAGCCAGCTGCCACAAATGCCCAATCATTACAATGGACAACGAGTCCTACTACCACAACAACAACTCGTCCGCTTTGGTGGACGACCACAACTTCCACATCTGCCACACCTGATAGTACGACAACTCATTCACCCTGGCGCACAACCACCATCACTCCACCTACAACAAAATCATCGTGGGTTGCCACCACTGCCAAGCCACCTACGACGAAACCTTGGTGGGTAACAACCAATACTAAAACTTCGTTGAAACCCTGGTGGATGACAACCACTGCCAAACCGACTACGTCAAAACCATGGTTGGTGAAAAACACTGCCAAATCAGCTACGTTAAAACCCTGGTGGGTGACGACCACTGCCAAACCGACTACGTTAAAATCCTGGTGGGTGAAAACCACAGTCAAACCAACTACGTCAAAACCCTGGTGGGTAACAACCACTGCCAAATCAACTACTTTGAAACCCTGGTGGGTGACAACCACTGCCAGGCCATCTACGACAAAGCCTTGGTGGGCAACAACAGCTGCCAGAGGTATGTCATTGCGACCGCTGGAACGAACATCTACGCCACCTCCTATGACAAATGAGGATGAGGAGCAAATTATAAAGAATGGAATTATGCGAGGAAGAGTGTAATATAGTTCTTTGACGTTAAAGCGATTTCATTTAAGAAAGTTAGATTGAATTTATTAATTTTGTTCGAGAGGACACGCTTAAGATCTGTGATATGCTCATCTACCTGTCAGTTTCATTGATCTCAGGAGTTGCACTCTTATTATGTATCGATTGCAATCTTGTAGTACATGTACCTAGTTGAATCGTGAGCTTCTTCGCTGAATCGTGTAAATTTATTTCATTGCAAGGGTATTTTAATAAACAAAAACTTTTCAATTGGTTCACATTATCGGTTTTTACGGCACTAAATGCTTTAGTAAGTTGGAACCCATAGGTTGGCATTTGAGATTGATCAGCATCGCAAACTTTAGTCTTTCATTCGCTTTTGAAAATTCGGAATAATTTCGTTTCGACGTCAGATGCTTAAAATACCATACTGCATAGGACTGGAAGGGAAGTGTTTGACGAAAGCAAAAAAGAGTATATGCAGATGCAGAACAAAACTTCCGCTTACTAAAACATGGTTTACACTGGCAGATATTTTTCCTCTTGACAACTTTTGCGCACCATTGTGAACCCAAAACGCACGTGCAATAGCAATAATTCCAGATCCAAAGGCGTTGCAAAACAAGTTTATGAGTTTCTAAAAAAGGCACTTTTGTGTACTTGAAGAGTGAATCTCCTATACATTTAAAGTGCTACAGAAGAGCGAAAAAAATAGTTTTTTACTCAATATGCTCCCAATTTTCATCCCCTCTCAC